ATTTATAATATATATTTTGATATTTTTGTAAATTTTATTTTATCTAATTGTAAGTATATATTACACAAACTATTTTATTTTTTTGGGTTTTGAAAAAAATATTAAATATATCTATTAAAGATTAATGTAATGAACAAATGTAAAAAAATAAAATAACTAAAACATCTTTAAAAAATAACTTATATATCTATATTTTTCATTATATATAAAACAAAACAATATATATTTCAAGAAACATCAATTTAGTATAATCAATATCAATTAAACATGAATGTCAACAAAACATATTGTATTTTTCATAGACAATATGGACGATTCATCCAAACTTATATAGTGGAATCTTAAAAACAATTGACATATGTGATATGTCATATATTTTATATAATGTTTCGCAATGGTTAAAACAGAACAGTAAAACTAGATTTGTACAGAACAGTAAAACTAGATGTTGGTAATGTCTTTGTACAGAACAGTAAAACTAGATTTTTTACTTCCTGACTGATCTTTAGTGTGCAGGATCGTGACTTGACAATGTGCGTGATCTTCAGCAGCACTGAGAAAAAGGATCACACATTCTGACGGCCTTGCCGTTTTGTTTTTAACCATTATAGTAATATATAATTATATATGATATTTGTTAAAACATAACTGAATAAATCTACTGTTTTATTTATATAACATAAAAATAAATACATATATATATACATTAGAGCAATTACTACGGCCTTGCCGTCTTGTTTTTTTGCAACTTGAAGTAATATATATTATATATTGAATTTTATTTCAACATAAGAAAACAAATATTGTTTTATTTACTGATTAAAAATATGAAAACAAGTTATCATACAATTACAAAATATTAAGACACATATCACAATTTATTGCCAGAACAATATTCAATGTGATAATATTTGTTATGAAAAAATGTTAAGCCTTGTGCTATATTTACTTATATATTTACTTTGACATAGAAATGAATAATATATTTTTTACTACATTTACTGTATATACGAGATTTTGACATAAATTTATGATAACTTTTATATGCTATTATTTTTTTAATGAACTTTGTCAAAAAATTATCACTAGTATTTTACGACATTTACTTGTATTTCTTAATATTGTCATAAAAATTATGACAAATCTTCTATGATTGTCATAAAAATTATGACAATTCTTATATCACATGTTCTTTTATTATTAAATCTTGTCATAAAAATTATGACACATGGTCTACAACATTTACTTTCATTATTAAATCTTGTCATAAAAATTATGACAAATGGTCTACGACATTTACTTTCATTATTAAATCTTGTCATAAAAATTATGACAAATATTTTACGACATTTACTTTAATGATTAAATATTGTCATAAAAATTATGACAAATTTTTCTACGACATTTACTTTTATTACTATTTTTGTCATAAAATATTATGACATATTGTCTCCTTTGTCATAAAAATTAAGACAAATATATTTATTATATATAATGCTATTCATATAAAAATGTATCAAAATATAATACTAAGTTTGATAGTGCATTGAAAAAAAATATTTTTATATAAATATTTCAAGTATTATTTTATATCATTGTTTCCATATGTTTTTTTGACAGAATTATTAATTATTTCAATTGTTTGTTTTCGGCTTTGCCGACTATATCTATTTATATCAAATAGTTTAAATAGAATATACTTTGTATTTTTTTCTGCAGGATTTATCAGCCGAATGACCGAGTGTTACTTTTGGTGAGCATCACCTTTTGGTGAGCTTCCAATATAGATTTGAAGCCATGGGAAAGGGAAAGCCAAAGGGAAAAGCAAAAGCACAACCAAAGAGCGATTCTGAAAGAGAAATCTACCGAAAGTTGCATAGCAAGCTCAGCTACTTAAAAAAGAAAGGAGGTGATGATGCAGAAAATGCAGAAAAAGCTCTCAGCGTTTTGAACTCTGGTGCAGCTGCTCGCGAAGATCTCCTAGAGAAATTCGCTTCTGACCACAAATGTCGTTGGCTGAGCAGCAACTTGGCTTATATATGTATATTTTCTTTGTTGGTTATTTAAAAGTTTTAAATAAAACTTTTTCATTTTATAAAAAATTATAAAAAGTATATAATATAAACCAATTGCAGGTGTTTCCACCGTGGAAACTTTTTCATCGAGCAGTGCCAGCACCGAGACGGATCAGTGGCTGAATCTTTTTCAGATGAAGCAGAAGCTGGGCATGCAGCACCTTCCAGATGATGACGAATTGTTGTTGTCAGAGCTTGAGCGCTACGAGCAGCACACACATCCAGCTCCTGCTTGGGCCGCCAAAGGTATGAAGGAATACAAGTACATTGAGAAGAAGTCACAAAAAGGAGAAAATCACACCCATGATCACACGATGGCCAAGCAGCTAGATGCAAGCAAGGCCAAGGTCTTGAAGGATGAGAACAGCGATCAGCCAGAGGTGACGGTTGACTGGAAGAAGTGTGTGAAAGGCCTTTGCAAGAACATCAAGACCCAAATGGAGAAAGCTCAGAAGGCAATGGGTGGATCCAAAAAGGTCAGATCCAAGATCAAGAAGCTTGACAAGCTGAAAGACCTTGGAGAGAAAATGTCGAACGGCGAGAACGGATTCAATGAGCGGCTGGACCAGTGGGTTGACAGGTTTGGCTCCTTGGAAGACCTGCCGCCGACAGAAGAGACACACAAGGACATGAAGGCATTGCTCGATGAGATGAAGGATACGACCACCGTGTTCGAGTCCTCGGTCGAGGCTGCAGCGCAGGCCGCCGTGGAGGTCGAGAAGGAGGAGAACGCATGAACACCTCTTCAACTGTGCGCTACGCTCGGCTGGTGAAAAAAGGATGCGTCGCTGGCTGACTGACGGCTATGCTGGTGCCATTATGTTTTTTCCGGCGTTGCCGATTTTTTTGTTTACAAATATATTTTTCTTTATCATACCCAAAATCCTTTTGATTTCAAAACATAAAAACTGTTTTTGGCTTAAGAGACTTGATCCTCTTGGGATCATTTTTTGACATACGGTCACAAGTCTTTTTTTCACACAGCTGAACGAAGTCTTTAGTCTAAGCCACCGATTTGTTTATATATAATTTATTTTCGGCAATGCTGAGTATTTTTATTTTATATATCACTTATATTCTCGGTCACGTCGATATTGATAAATAATACAATATAATACATTTGTCGGCAATGCCGATGTATTGTATTTTTGGGTACCTATTTGTGTCATTTTTTGCTCAAAGTTTTTTCACTAGATCTGGATTTCGTAGTGTCGTCTTTACTGCCATGCGTGGTGTAGTGGACTTCAAAGCAGGCGACTTCGTTACTCTCTACGACAAAGTCAAGAAGCGCAGCATCGGAAAACATCGTTGTATTCGCTCACACTTCTACCGCGACCGGCGGCTTGTTTGGGTGAAGGACGTGACAGAAGATGAGGCTCCGGACTTGACTGGCGCGATTGATTTCGCAAAAACAAGTGAGGACTGCCTGCTGCCGTTGAGGCAACAAATCATGGACTACCTGGTGGCCACGTGGACAGAGGACGACGAGGAGCCGGACGCACTCAGAGAGGAAGCGGTCGCCGCCGTGGTGACCATGGACACAAAGATTCTGTACTACACTACCACCTTCTTGCAAAGAGTACAGAATGGTCAACCAGTGCAGCTCCGCTATAGTACTCAGTTGCTTCATGATGTTTTAGATAATACATTAGGCATGTTGGAGAAGCTGCGTGGTGTGAATATGCCTTTGCAGTCAATCTGACTTTCAAAGCTTGAATGTTTTGGAAAATGTACACGGTGTGAATACGCCCTTACAGTGATCCTTTTCCATCCTAATTAATTCGGACCAAATTTGTGAAAGCAATATGGAAAAAACAATTAATAGATTCTCTTCGGCATTGCCGTTTGGTTTTATTTGTTTAGGTTCACTGCGGCTTAGCCGTTTTGATTTTTTATATAATTTTTGAAAAATATTAATTAATAATAATTATGGTTCAAGATTTTATGACAGCATTTTGTACTTTTTTCACAGACGTGGCGTTTGCACAGCCATGTCTGCAGGCAGCAAAAGAAAAAGGGAGAGCGAAGCCCTCTTTAAGATCCGAAACAATTTGACCGATTTGGCCAAAGCAGCTGCAATACTGAAAGGGCTGCCGGAGAATGTACGCGGAGAACGAAAAAAATTGCAAAAGGATTTGGAAGCTCCTACAGATTGGGTCTTCGAACACTTTACGACCTCCTGTGATGAAGAGCAAACATATGACTTATACTTTGCCGATCCGGGCAGGGCCATGAGATTTTTGTCTCATAGATGTCCCAGCTGGGAGCAGATTTGCCGGTTCTTGGCAAACAAGGACTCCTTAGACATCGTTGTGTTCGAGGACGAGATCACAGGTGGCAATGTGGTGGCACCTGACCCCCGACGCAAGGTCAGCATCTGTTATATTGCTTTCCTGATCCTTGGGCCACATCTTTCGTCCGAAAAAATGTGGTTGCCAGTCTTTTGCTGTCGCCACAAAAACTCGCTATGGCCCACACAGGTGGTGCCAGCGGTCTCATGGCGAAGGTCTTTGAGCGACTGGTATCTGAGCCTCTGATTCTATACCACAAGGACGCATGGTGGAGGTGTCAACTACGCATCAAGAACTTTTTAGCTGACGCCCCAGCTCTCCGCAATGCATTTTCCACAAAAGGTCACAACGGGATGAAACCGTGTGCCTTATGTGGATTGATCATCGGCAAGCGCTGGACTGTTTCGGGGTGCTACAGTTTCAGCGAGACGGACCCTGCACGCTGGGGTCGCCTTGGCGAGTCTGACTTACACCGCTGGGCAGATGAATTGATCGAAGCCGCTGCGCATTCGTCTGCGGCGAACCTCAAGAAAATGGAAAAACCAGAGGCCTCACATACAATGCTCACGCTTTGATATTTCAACCACGACTGCGTCCTTTGGTGAGCATCACATCTGCGTGGACCTATGACTCCATGCACTCTTGCTATCAGAGCGGCACTGGCTCGGTGGAGATGTTCCTGATGTACCAACAGTGTCTTCGAAGTCATAGCGACATTTTCAAGAAGTGGCGCTCCTTTTGTGAGGAGTGGTCCTGGCAGACCGATCTTCAGCGGGTCATTCTTCGACAGTTGACTGTGGGACGAGAGAAAACTTGGGTTCATGCGTACAAGGGCTCCGCTTCCGAGCTGCTTACCTTGTTCCCTTTGGTTGTTCTTTGGTGCCTTAGATCGGCCCCCGGTCCTGAGGAGCTGTCTTTCTTTGCAATGTGGGAAGTGATTTCGGCCCTGCAGCGAGCAAAACTGGAGCCAGAAAACTTCGAGCAAGTGGCCTCTACATTGCAGTCTGCTCTGGCAAAGCACATGGCAGCGCACACACGCGCATATGGCGATGAGCATCTGCTCCCGAAGCACCACTTTATGCTTCATATACCAGGACAGATTTTGCGCGACAAGTGCATGCTGGATTGCTTCGTCACAGAGCGCAAGGGAAAGCCGCTCAAGGCACTGTTGGACGCTGCTGGTAGCGGCCACGTTGGCCTCGAGCAGAGCTTACTCCGCAGGGCTCTGTTCGAACAGATAGACGACCGCCCTTCGGCATGGCAGACGCACTTAGAGCCTCCTGTACAGAGCTCCAATGGCGACCTCTTGAGTTTAAAACTGCACTGGGCCTCCACGACGCAGGAGCAGGTGGTCGCGGGCCAAATGCGCCGGAAGGATGGCCATCTGTGCCTGGTACAGGCTTGTGTGCAGAAAGACGAAAACTTTTTCGTCCTTGTTTTGGCCGGCGCCTGGCGCAAGCGCGTGGGATACGTGGGTGTGTATTTTTTTTACCGTAGTCGGGCCGGGAAGTTTGAGTAGGGGGTATGATTCGAGGGTATGATTCGGGGTATGATTCGAGGGTATGATTCGGGGGTATGATTCGCGGCTTTGGAATTGTATTGTTGGCTTCGCTGGGCTTCCAGCAGTGGGCCCACATCTGCGCCATGAGGCAGTAGACAAACAGTATCTGTTAGTTGCTGGGCAGACTAGGCAATGAACTCTTCTACCAAGACCCCACCCAAAGGCAGGACCCTTTTGACTACAGTGGTTTGCACACCAGCGGCCCTCTGCAGCACACCCCCCAAGTACAAAACAGTAGTTTCAGCATAATGTAGCCCAACCTGCTTACTGTAAATGGAGGCACCCCCACGTCAAGGCACAGGTAGCGTTGCCACTCAGGGCGATGACTGGTAAACCGCCACTCTTACCAGGCACACCTCCACTGGCCATTTTTTTTCACGCAGAGCAGCTGGAACTATCGGTCTGCTGGGAACTGGCTGAATCCTCTTGGAGGTTTACTGCCAGCACTCGTTTTTGCTGTTCGTATTTCCTCTTGTTATGAGCCCACCTTTTCTCTTTTCGTCGTAGTGCAACCAACCAAGGGTCCCGGCGACTGATTGCTTCTCCCTCTGCAAACTGCTTTTGTTTGGCCCACCGGCGCTGCAAGAGAGATATGTTCAATGGTGTTTTTTCTGGCTGCTGGGCTCGGAAGGACCTGCGCCAATCGTCTGTGCATTTCACCGATGTGCACTCAGCCCTCCCCACTAGAATTCCTTTTTTTCCACAGCTTGGCCTGTCAGAGAAAACGTAGTTAAAGACCCGCGCATGCCCTCGGGACGCACGCTCAAGCATGATGTATTCGATCTGAAGATCGAGGCCTGACAGATCAAGTTTCTTGCAGTATTGCTTTGCCTCAGGCTCGAAGACTTTCACTTTGTAAGCTGGCCCTTGGGGCGGGGGGTGCAAAGCCATGGTGGCAGCAGCCCCAGCCTCCAGAGCCTGTCGCATGCCATCCAGGGAGTCAATGGTGCAAGTCCGGGCATAATCAGCGACCCATCGCCGTTGCAAGCCAAAAGCACCATCACACCTGCCTTTCCCATGATGTTCCGCAAAGAAGTGGAGATAGACTTTTGGGAAAACACTCTGGCATTGAGCAACCAAGTTCCAAACAAACTCGTAACTTCTAAAATGAGGGCCGCAGTCCGCCCAACAATGGAACTCTCTGACCCCATCAGTGGGCAATGTCTGTAGCAAGTCGTTCCTGGTTGCCAGCCAGTCTCATTCAAAACAGTTCAGCGAGCCTACTGGGACCAAATGTCACATAAGTAGAAAAATCATAGCTATCTTTCTTTACCCAAGGCACAGGCATTGGCAAGCATATGCTGAGTCGTGGTTAAGTATCTGAGAAATGTAATGGTAATTTTCTTTGCAAAGTACGTTGCCCCTCCAGACACAAACATAAAAGCCCAATGTTGTCATGGCCCCTCTGGAGGTTGCCCAGAACCAGTCTTGGGCCTCCTCAGGCCCCAGT